TGACCTGCTGATCTAGCAGTAGCCTGCAGTGCTGCATTTAACCACTGCGCCACCTTGGCTCTGTTAGACTAATGATCTTGACTCCCTTCCAAGAGTAGATTAGGTTATTAGTAGGTTATCAAGTAGACTAGGAAACTGTATTGTTCATTACTTCTTCAACTGTGCATTTATAATTTAAAATCTTTCGGGGCCAATGGAAAACACAGTGTAGGTGGCACGCAGATGATCATTGATGGACTTTTATTCTTTACTAATGTAGTAAAAATGTTTTCTTTCAACTGATTTAGTACAAGAAGGAGGAGAACTCATTAAAATTGTTTCAAGCTGATTACGTTGTATACATTTTTAATTTGACCATTATCTTAATTGCTTGATTTGAAAATTGCAATTGTTCACATGACTGCATGCTTTGAAAATATACAACAACTGTTTGCTAGTAATAATTGGTGCTTAATCAGTAAAAGGTTAAGTTGCCATACTTTTTTCTGTAGTGTTCTATACTCTGTTTACCTGTTATACAAAATATAAAAACAATTAAAATTACATTTGTTTAATCAAGGAAGAAAATAACATTTGTGATCTGGTGGCTTTTCCTCTGTAGTTGCCTTTGCTTATATCTCTATTTCAAAAATGTTAGTGGCTATTTTTGGGTTCATGTGAGGTAAAGGCATTGCTGAAATATTATTCATTGGTGTAACATAAAGATTGAGGTCAGGTGTGTTATCAGACACATATCCCCAACCTCTTAACTTTAGCTGTGTGAATCTGGTTACTGGAAAATCTACCTTGATTTTAAAATTCTTCCAGGTTCTTCTTCCAGTTCTTCCATGTTTAAAACCTTTTCCAGGTTCTTGGAAAGAACTTGATAGGTAGATAAAAATGCCAATTCCAGTCTAAACAAGACTGCAACAAATCACCATAACCCCCACAACAATAAGAGATAATAAGGCTTGAGAATAGCTAAGAGCAGGAAAGTTGAATAAAGAGACACGGGCTAATTCTGGCTGCACAAGACCAAACATACAAAGCCAGAATTGAGAAGACAGCAACAGATAGCAAGTGCCACCTCTGCAAAGAGAAACAGGATCACCTGCTTAGTTGCTTCAAGGAGATTGCACAGACCACAGTGCTCTAGAACTTCAAGCAGACAACCACCTGCCACATAACAATTGTCAGCAAGAAAAAAGAAGTCTGGACAGTGGATGTGGCAGTACCTGGAGAGAGCAGAATAGATGATAAAGAACTGGAAAAAATCACAAAATAGAAAAACCTGCGAGTATGAGCAGAACAACTATAGCAACTGTAAGCAAAGATAGTACCCATAGTGATAGACACTTTATGCAAAGCAGGGTGGAACACCACTTGAACACCATTGGCATTGACAAAATCACCACCAGTCAATTACAGAATGAAGCTTTACTAGGAACAGTTTGCATCCTGCAATAATACCTTTAATACCATTAAATAAGATCTACTTATCACAGGTTATTGGACTTGATAGTTAGAGACAAATGCCAAATCCAATCTCAAAATCTGGATGAGTGTATGCAGCCAATAATAGTAACTCTTAGTCTATTTTTCTATGCAGATAATATTGAGTTGGATGGACAAACCTTAAATAATGCAGCTTCCTGTGTCCCTTTCCCCAGTACAGGTCTACTACAAAACACAATTAGCATGTTAACAAAATTATTTTATTTTATGTCTGTATGCCTAGACAAGGATAATATCTTACAAATTTCAGACTAACAATTTAATTCACTGCAAAATCACTATTTTCAAAATACATTTTTTCCTAAAAAACTGACAGCAATAAATGCTTGTTTAGCATTTCCACTATAACAGTTTAATTTTCCACTATAACACTATAACAGTTAAAACAGTATTGGGATGAGTTTACTACATGGTATATTTTCATATGTCTCTAAAAAAGCTGTTTCCCACATTTAACAATGAAAGAAGTAGTCTGAGGCGTCACCCAGCAGAATATATACAGTAGAAAATTAGTTTCTGGATGACTTTTTTAAAAATGTAACACCATCATATTTTTCCACTGACTAAAAGGAAAGATCACCCAGAAATTTCAACTGGCCCAGAATGCTGTAGAATGCAGTAATGGGGGCACTTCTGTTGTATTAGCTGCACTGGCTTCCAACTTCTTTAGGTGCAATTCCAGGTGCTGGTCATCACCTTTAAAGCCCTTATATGACACAGTGCCAGCCTATCTGAAGGACCACCTTTCCCTGAGGACATCTACCCATCCTACCAAGTCAGATAGGGTGGGCACGCTCCTAATTCATTCCGCTAAATATTGCCTTCTGATGAAAGCTAGGAAGGGTGCCTTTTCCGTGGCAGCCCCTGCCCTCTGGGACTCTCTGTCCCCGTGAAGATCAGCAGGCCTCCACCCTTTTAGCCTCTTATAAGGCTTTGGACACATGGCTCCCCCCCCCCCCCAGTTGGAAGAAGATTAGATAATCAAATATTAGAACAGATTTGGTGTCAGCTTTTTGTTGTTTTGTTTAATATCTGTTGAGTTTTATAGCTGTAATATGATTTCATATTTTTTTAATCTTAGATTGGGGGGCACTCAGAAAGATGGGTGGCTACAAATATGTTTTAAATACATATATACATATATAAATACATACATACATACATACATACATACATGATGCACTCCTCTGAGAGTTAAACACTTGCACTGGTGCATCTATGTGTTTCTGTGTATGAATGTGTTTTGAATATTTCATGTGTACCTAATATTGATTAAAATTCAAATATTTTCTTTTAGAGAGCTAAATCTTGCTTCTTGTTTAGATTATTGGAAATAAAGGGAAAGGAAGGGTTGAACCTATTTTTCATTTTTCATGAAATTATTCATTTCAGTAATGTGTGTGACCATTTACTGTTTTTTTTACTTGTATAGAGACATCTTTTATGTGAAATAATTGTTCCTTAATGATTATTATGCATGCAACTATTTAGATTTCCACAATGTCAATGCCACTTTTTTTGTAGCTGCTACCACCTCTGTGAATTATTGATTCACACACATATGAATGTATTGATTCATATAAATGGTGACTCAGCAGGACAGCCCATCAACCACTTGGGCAAGATGATTATGGTGGTGGCTGCTGCTGTTTTCTCTTTTTACCCTTTTTAGTGTGCTGAAGATTTAACCATGAAAGTGGATTTAAGGCAAGTTTGTGAAATCACAGGTTCACAAGAAAAAAAAATTGAAAAAAGATTAAGATCAATGTCAAAATGAAGTTATTCTAATCCGTTGCAGAAAAAAATAAGACCTTTTAGTTGAACATTACACTTGGTGGTTTGTTCACATTTGGTCAGAAGATGGAATGATTGTGATAAATACCTCTTGATAAATGGAAAGCAGGCATATCAAATCAATAATCATACTAAAAGTAACAATTGTAACTAGACATCTGAATACAATGAAATTCTTGGAAAGCTTCCTTAGGAAACAGCATAAATGCTGACCTTACCATAAAAGACTAAATAAACTCTGCTATTATAATGAAAGAAAGAAAAAAACTGTAATGAATCCCGACTGGATTGGTGGACTATTTTGTATAATTCCAAAGGAACGTAACAATGGTTTGCTTTTTTATTCTGCTTGTGAGTTCCTAGGTTCATCTTTCTTTAAATACGGGGGTAGAATAAATTATTAGTAATCAGATAAAGTAAGATAGTTCTGATGACCTTAGCTCTTTGTCAAAGTGTAAAAATTTTGTAGAAAATTATATTGAATGCTAAAGTACATTACTGAACAAACAACTTAATTTGTATGAATAGTCCATTAATTTGCAAAATGTCCAGGTGGAAACTTGTATTTGAATTCCATTAAATGAGAGTTTAATAAATTAAGCTTTAACTTGTACTCAAATAGCATGTTTTTCAGATTTTCACTATCACTAGAATCTTCCCTCCCTTCCCAAATCTGCAGAAGTCTTAAGTTAAGATTAATAAGCATAGGCAATAAAGCTATATTGAATTATTTCTTGGTTATATTTATTTGCCTATATATAAAGAAACATGAAATATTCTTTTTAGCATAGTTATTAAGAAATATTTTAAATTCTGTTTGTATAATGAGTAATGTTATAGCTTCTGTGCTTGCATTAATATCTCTTTTCTTCCTCTTCTCTTTCCAGAATGGAAGAAACAGTGAGGAACTTACTTCAAAGTCAAGGATTATCTGAGCCCAATGGAGAAGAACACGTGCCCATATTAAAATCATATCAGGTAATAACAATTTTCATAGCCCTACTTGCAATCTCTTAATAACTGGTAGAATAATTAGAAGATGAAAAACTGTAAACACAGTTGATTTTAAAGTTGCTAAAAATGGTCTCTTCTGAATAAGAGACATGCTGTCACATATGTACAGTAATTGAAGCAGAAAATACTTTTCAGAAAAAGAAGACTCAGGAAATGGTCTGTGTACGCGCTATGGAACTAGAAACTCTAAGGCAGAAGTGCAGTAAAAATAATCGATGGAGAATGTGATTAAAAATGACATTTAAGCTTCTGAAAAATGCTTGGAGCTATCACACATTCCCCATGCATTGAGTTTGCATGGCAATGAGAATTCTCTGAAACATCTGGAAAAGAGAGGAAGAGAGTTGGGAAGACAGGCAGGTAAAACATTGCAGGCAGTTGGACGTATCCTAATTTAATGCAAGGCAAGTATAGATGGTAATAGAGATGATCCTTTTCTTCCCCACTGAATAATTACTTTTTTATGCTTTGCATATGCATACTGTATATGTAACTAAATTGTGTTACATACAGGTTCACATCTGGGTAAAATCTACAAGTTCATTCCCATTTCCTTTGTGTGTGTCTGTGTATGTACATACTATGAAAATATAGTCAAGTCTACATTTGCGCATACAGTATGTCTGGGCACTGAAGATGCTTTGTGCATGTATGCAAGCAAGCCTACTGAATACAACGGGCATATATCTATATAAGGACATGAAGTGCCTTCATGCATGTACTTGTGTCGGTGCATATTTGTGCAGAAAATTCTGAGAAAATGTTTCATGATGTTATCAGAATGGTAGTATTGATTAATGGATGAGGTCAATGAATTAAAGCCCTCTTTGATTAAATAATAACATTTTTAAGTGGGCAGCAGATTGTAATGTGCATAGCCAGTAAAGTTACATTACATGAGTAGCAATTTCCTTCCTTTTCTTATTTCATAAAGACTGTCCCTTCTATGACATCATTTTGTGACATGTTATCCTAAAAACATGTAGAGCTGTATTCTTATATGCACGTATAAATATATACACATTCAATTTACTGCAAACTTATGTATTTTTTGCATGATGTATTATTTTTTAAAATATATATGTGTTTATTATCAAACTCATAGTCTTAATTGATATAACGTAGGCTGCAGAACTACATTTTAAAAGTAGTAATACTTTTACTTTTAATCAGTAGGAGAGAGTGTGTATGAATCGTGCCATTATCTTTGAAGCTATATTTGCCACTAGTTAAGGGTATTATATTCAAAAGAAAAAAATAAAGTTGGTAACAAAAAATAATTCAGGAAGAAATGAGAAAATAATATTGAGAATAATTATCTTGATTATGGGGTTTACAAAATATGAAACAATTCCATATTTCAAGGGACTATGGTAAGTTGTTTTAATGGTGTGCAACGTGTTCAAGGTAATATTTCAGTAATCATAAAAGCTTCTTCTTTGCGGTAAACACTTTGATCTATTGACCACTGCCTGCATATTTGTCTTTTCTTTCTTAAACCTAATTATTGTTTAGGGATGTATAAGACAGCTCTGATTACAATATCAATATGCCTGTCTCCTGAATAAATACTGGTACTTTAAATGTTGAGCAGTACACATGTCAATGGAACAATAATCAGAGGAATAGCAGAACATACATGCATTATTGTAAAATTGTCAAGATCTTTTTTCCAAACATGGTAATTTATCTTATTTCTTTTATATAAAATATTTTATACTGACACAAAGGCACTGACTGTCCTTAGTTGCACTGATTTGTTTTTATGACATATTCAAAAATAAAATAAACAACAATGGATTTAGACACGAGGTTTTCAGGAATGTTCCAACAACTATTCCCTGATCAGATTTTTATTTTAAATACTATAGCTATTGATTACATGAATTGACTCTAGAATATATTATTAAAACAGTGTTGCAAAATGAGCACAGTCCATAAGTTTAAATAGGAAAGTATGGTATGAACCACATCATGGTGGAAACTCTTTGTGTCATTGTGTGAGGTACACAAAACCTTCACAACTATTGCACACCACAAGATATTAGTAGCACATAGTTCTCCACAATTCATTTTGTTTGCTGTCCAAAACAATAAATTAATGTACTGTGGTTAAAAAACAATTGGGATATTTGTTTGTATGTTTGGGGACATACAAGAATGGTCTACAAATTATGGCAAAAATATTTCGAGCAGTCAAAAAAATACAATAAAAATATAATAACACATGCAGAGTAACTTCCATTTTCCACTAAATAGTATATTGCCTGGTCCTTTATAGCTAAAGGTAACATGTAATGGCATTTATTTATTTGTTTGTTTAGTTAGCTAGTTAATTAGTTAGTTTGTTTGTTAGTATAGCAACATTGAACTTTTGTCCATGTAATAGTTATTTATGCTACTTACACTACTTTAGGATTCAGTTCTCTCCCCACTTGTTTTAAACTTCTACATGAAACTGCTGACTGAGGTTATTCTTCAGCATAGCATGATAACTGCACTGTACATCTCTACAGGTTGTCCTACAGGTTTCAACAGTAATACTGTTGAAGTTCTCTCCCAGTTCCTGGAGGCTCTAGGAGTCTCTGTAAGGAGGAATTGGTTTTGGCTAAATCCTGACTAGATTGTACAATTATACTTTTGGGGCCTCCAGCATGTAGTAGTTTTCTATCATTAATTGGGCATGGAGGTAACATTTCCCCAAATATGTAATCCGTGAGTGCTTCTTGATTCACACTTCTTACTCAAGGAGTAAATGGCAGCCATGGCCAAGAGAACCTTCACATTATGTGTGCCATTGACACTTATTTTCAGGTCAGAAGGTACAGCTTAAAGTCATTCACACCTTTTGTCATCTTCCACTTGGACTATTCAACATATCCTATAAGGGACTTCTCTTGAAGAACATCTAGAAACTGCAGCTGGTCCAGAGTGCAGTGATACAGAGAGTGATATTACAATCATTGATAACAGCTGCAATATGAGTTCTATTCACTATCAAAAGGCTTCTAGGTATAATTCAAGCCCTTTAATGGCTTTAGGCTAGGTTAACTTTGGGACCATCTATCACTATTGGTTTCTACTCATCTCACAAGGCTTGGCAGAATCTCCAGGCCCTCTGGGTGAAGCAGTGTCAACTGGCTCACCTTAGGAAGCATGCCTTCACTGTCATGACCTGCCTTATGAAACATGAGATATACAGATAGCTACTTTTCTTCTGGCCTTTCAGAAGGCTGTGAAGATAAGCTCCTTTCCCTTGGATGTTGAGACAAGGATGTTAATTAACTTGAACTCTGATTGTGTGAATGTGTCAATTTGGATTTTGTTTGGCTTTTTAAAATGGATGTTCATATGTTGTTTGCTGCATAACATTTTGTTTTCGATAGTTGGATGGCCATAGACATTTAGTAAATAAATAAGCAGGCAAAAAAATGTTCTGGAACAATTAAAACATACATTAAAAACCCAATAATTAAAATAATACTGAAACAATAAAATCAGCAGCTGGAATAAAATATTTCTAAGCAGCAACATTTTACCACAGTGCTGATATTGATTTAAATGCCTAGAAAAATAAAAACATCTTTCCCTGGCATTGAAAACAAAACACATTTGGTATCAGGTGTATCTTATGCCCACTCCCACGGTTACTTATTGCCCTCAGGGTGGAAAACACTAAAAATTAAAATGTCTCAGTATCTAATATATCCAGAAGCATTTCTTTGCAAAACTGAAGTTATTTTCCCCTTTCCTTTTGACTTTCCTATAGACCTTTCCTAATATAAAAACTCTGCTTTCACAATCCAACCCTCTGATTTTTTTTCCAGAAAAGCAAAATGAGTGTGCAGAAAAAATTGAAAATAAAGTTGACTTTTGCTGGTTTTGCCAGCAAAGGCAAAAAAAACCTATTGCAATTAGAATTTGGGAATGTAGGCCAGGTTACAGAAAGATATCCAAATGAAAGGAATTGGGAGTTAAAACAGAGAAAAACAGAGAAATTGCTTTCTATCTGTGTTATTCAACTTTTCTCTGCTGTTCCAGTATTCTTCTCAAGTCTGGCTTTGGGTCTAGTAGAAGTCGCTTGTCTTGACTTCCTGGGAGGAACCTGCTGGTGGTGGCAGCAAAAAATAGCTGCCTCCGAATTCCTGGCTACGTACCTGTTTAGAGGATCTTCCATCTGACGTCTTATCAGGTTTTCTTATCCTT